TCAGACAAACAAAAGCTTTCAACATTCAATATAAGATAATAAGGAATATAACGCTTATACAAAATGAGGAAGTGAATGAATACTTGAACAATACTGTTTTGACATATGCTTGGTTGTTTAGGGTCAACTCTTAACCAACCAACCTATGCTGTTACAACAGTTCAGTTAGCAAAAGCATAACCAGAAAGAATTTTTTAAGTTAAAGAAGTAAAGTTCATATTTTATGGAGAAAGTAAAAGAAAGTTATATCAGGATCACCACTGGCTTCTAATCTAAGTCATATTTCATAAAGTCATAAGCTACTATGTTGGATCATCTCTAGTACCCCAACCAAGGAGTCGTGAAAGGCCAACGGGAGCCAGTCACGTACGGCATTCTTGATGACACGGCACCTCATACTACACTGATCACCTCCCCATTTCTTCTAACCAGTCTCAGCACCGGCAAATAATACACAATGTAGAATTCGTAGAACATGTCCAAGCCAACAAAGTAGGTGTTTACAGATAGTGACATCAACTGAATTATCGTCCCTGTGCCCGAACACACGTTATAGAACCTCTGCATCACTAACATAGTGGTGCCCCTGGTTGTCACCAATCTTTCGGAGACAACGATGATCAAATACAGGAAGTCATCTAACATCCTAAACTCGGAGAGGCCAAGATTTACAAACACAGAGCAAAACTGCTCTCATCAGCGCATGATAGAATCGACATTTTAAAGCCAGACTAACATCACGAAGGCGCCAACGATGGCCGAGATTGGCACAAACCACTCTGTCTTCCACTATACGTGAATTGGCTTCATCACTCACGCCACCACCAGCACTTACGTAGCCACCCAGATACGCGAACTTCATGAATACTTCCATTTGCTCACTACTTGGGCTGAAGGCAGGTTCAAAGTCCTTCCATTGCTTACTGCATGGCTTGAGTATCATGGCACCGTATGATAGTACCGTCGCACAATCACCACCACCATTACCTACATCCATGAGAATCATTTCTAGAACGTCATCGATAGCAATGTTAAGGAGGATTGATGAGTTTGTGCAACCCTGAGTAACCCCAATCGATTGAATAAAGCTAAGGAGAGATGTGGCTGTGTCCCCTCGTTCTGTTTGATGTGTTTGTATATAGGGTTTTAAAGTGGTTAATAAACTTCACAGACACATCCTCCTACAACAGACAATCCCAGATAACATTAATGCCGAATGAATCAAAGGCGACCTTAATGTCAAAAACACTACGATTGTTGGCCTGTAATATGTACGATAATATTTTAATATGTGGTGGAGGGTGAAAATTTGAGCCATACAACCTCGACTAAAACCGAAAGCTAGCCTTCTCCTTGTGAGTCAATCTTACTCGGGATTTGGACAATCCATTAGTAGGACGGAAGCCAATAGTTTGAACGCCGTATCCACTAACTTGGTTATAGCTCTGGACACTCACTTTTCGTCCCCTCAATTTTTTAAACAACAATAGTTCAACGAAAAGACAGTGAGTAGGGTTTCTTTTATCAAATGGGATTACACAATAATGAGTGAGTAAGAGGAGAATATAGGAATGGAAATAATTTACGAAAGATAACTGTCCGCTTAACAAATACTAGAAAGGAGAAAAAACATGAAGGTCATGGTAATAAAAACTAAATAATAATTATGAAAATTGTTTAAGAGTATTGATAACTGATCACAGGTTAAAAGTATAAAACATTTATCCAGAAAATCAAAAAAATAATAAATACCAAAACATATTACAAAAAAGAATTATGGTCAAGGAAGGGTAAGAGGTTGGTCGTATTTTTTCGCACGCATACTTCGGGCTTAAGTTGGTGGATTGCCAATGCCTCAGCTGTGTAAAATCTTTTGATGAGACAATCCTTAGATCCAAATTTTTGACTGTAGATTATTTTAAATGAAGACTCCTTCAGAGAGATGTGTCCATAGTTGATTAAACGTTCCTTTAATAAACTAGTATTCGTTTTGCTTTCCTCTTTTAAAGCCATGCAGAGCATTGTCCTTAGATTTGTTTAGAAAGTGATCACTTTATGCAACCAATGCAACCTGCTCCACATGAGCTAGTAAATTTTTAGATGCACATTGATGTGGCTCAAAGAAAACGTTCATCTTAAACACATCTGTGAGTGGTAGGCCAGCTTAAGAAAACAATATGGAGCCAAGCTGTGAGTAGAACGTTTTATTCAGCGATTTGAGAAATCGTCCAAAATTCCACTGAGGATCATATCTTACCCAAAAATAATGAAAGCATCGTCTACGTGTCGCTTATATAAACGGAATTCCTCAATTATTGGTCTAAGTACCGTATTTTTCAGATTAGCCAACAAACAATCAGCCAAATAGGGATACAATGTTGGACCTAGTTCAACACTATATGTTTGTCTATAAAATCCATTATTATGTCTGAATTACACTATGGGAGTATATTATAGAAGTAGCTTTTCTAAATACTCCGATTTATTTATTCAAAATCACCGAAATTACGCGTTGGAATACAGATAGTGGTTGGAGTAACAATATGTCACCCTGAGAAAAATGCGCTTATAATGAACTCAGTCTTTAACTAAAATTAATTGTATATTTCAGTATCGAACTTCAGTATATTGACTAAACTATCTATTGAAAATCGCTTGTTAATTGTCATATTTTTGAAAATACATAGAGCTTACCAATTGGAGCACTGCCGTCAGATAAATCTGAATCGTAGTCTAACACCATATTTCTAACTTGACGCCTAGATCTGAAACAGCCGCCTTCCCTCACGGTAGTCTTAATATATGTGGAAAGGTCATTTGTGTAGGATCAACCATACACAAGGTTATCCTTAAAATAAATATTCTTAGCTTCGTTTTTACTATCGGAAAGTTAGCTTGAGGTGTATGTATTGGAAGTTACAATCGAATATAATAGATGACCAACAAATAAATCGTTATTAAATTACCACAACAAAACGTTCAGGAAGATAAGCCTTGCATTTTAAAGAGTTGAAGAATTATGATCTACTATGATATTAGTACTGCTCTAATAATAGACCCAATCCTAAAATTGTAGATTTGTCACGATATAACTGCCTAATCTATAAGATCTTACGTGGAAGTCACGTCATCGTCTACAGCAACTCACTGTATCGTAAAAACTACCAATAAATGATGAATAATGGGCTTAGGCTAGAGAAGAACAATATATTTAGTATGAATAAAAGATATAAGGTAATATTCAGCAGGGACCACGCCTGCATGGCCGAGCCATGCCGTTCGATCAACTCTAGTCTATTCAATTCATTATTCGCGCCTTCTCCATCGTTAGGTATTTCTTCGCGTTAAATATTGAATACCTATTTTCCGAGTAATCTCGTATTCAGCTTTGAGGATATTGTGGTTATGGTCTAATGCTACTACAGAGTTTTCCATTTTAGTGATTTAACGGACAGGTATATGGTTGATCCTACACACTCGCTAAGCTGAGGCGAACTACCGGAAAATTGGAAGTTGGCTCACATCACACCAATTTTCAAAAGTGGTCGACGCAATGAACCTTCAAGTTATCGGCCGGTGGCTCTTCTGTCATTACCTTCAAAACTCACGGAGTCCCTGATATGCGACGGTTTAAACGACCATCTACTGTCCTTAAATTTCTTCTCACACCAACAGCATGGTTTCAGGAAGGGTTACTCTTGTATAACCAACCTGCTGACTGCGGTGGACAGATGGACAAGCATCCTCGATCGCAAGGGAAAGGTTGATATCATTTACCTTGATTTGATAAAGTTAACCACTTGTGTCTTATCAGAAAGCTGAAACGACTAGGTATCAAACCACCGCTAATCGATTGGCTCACTTCATACCTAAAAAATCGACATTTCAAGGTTAGGGTTAATTTCACTTTATCTCAGGCTATGGAATGTCCTAGTAGGGTCCCCCAGGGCTCAGTACTAGGGCCTCTTCTCTTCTTGATCTACATAAATGATCTTCCTCAACAAGTAACGTCAGACTTATTACTTTTTGCCGACGACGTGAATGTTTGGAGAGAGATACGCAACCAGGACGATATACAGGCACTTCAGGAGGATCTGACTCCACTTCAAGGTTGGACAGACGATAACGGACTTACCTTTAACACTTCAAAGTGTAAAGTAGTCCAACTGCGACATGTCGCAAACTACAGTTGCAACTTAGGAAATTACTCTCTAGTAGTAACCTGAGTCGAAAAAGTTTTACGAGTCCTGATGCCCCACGATTTAAAGTCTTACGCTAATTGTGACAAAAATGCCTTCCGAGCAAACCTTGCATTGGTAACATTGAAGCGCATTTTTGGCTAGTTGGACGGAAGAACTTTCCATACAATCTTCAATAGTTTTATCCGTCCCCATTTAGAGTACGGAAACATAGTACTCCCCCCTCATTCCAAAAGGACAAGGTCACTTTGGAGCGTATCCAACGGCGAGCCACGAAATCAGTTCGAGGACTCAAATCTAAGCCTTACGAAGAACGCCTCCATTCACTAAACCTTTACCCATTAGAGTATAGGCGTCTTAGAGGTGATTTATTAGTGGCTTATAGTATTCTTAACACTTCTGGACATCCCCTTAAACACCTACTTAAGCTTAGTTCGAATAATAACCTAAGGGGTAACACCCAGAAACTGGAAACTCAACATAGCAAGACGGAATGTAGACACAACTTCTACTCCTTAAGAGTTGTCAAAAGCTGGAATTCGCTGCGGCCGAGCTAGTCCAAGCGACTTTTCAGGAGTCCTTCAAGAGGCAACTTGACCTATTCTTAAGGACCAAGGATAGTATCACACTATGATTTACCAATTTCTTTTCCTCTTTTATTGTTAACATACCTAGGTTCCTGCCTGGAGGATTTGGTGATCTCCTGCTACTAGACACGGAAGCCTGTTAAGCGAAAGCTTCTTCTATTCCGTCCAAAACCATTTGAACCATCTGAACCATTTACACAAATGACCTTTCCGCATATATTAAGACTACGTGAGGGAAGGCGGCTGTTTCAGATATAAGCGTCACATTAGAAATATGGTGTTAGACTATGATTCAGATTCATCTGACGGCAGTGCTCCGAATCGTAAGGTGTATTAATTTTCACGAGTAAAACAACAAATAGGAGAAGAAAGGGATGAATCTTCAGATCTCAACTCGTCCAGTGATGATGAGGAACGAAATCGTGTAACACAGAGGAATATTTTTGGAGATGATACTGGTTAGATAATGTCGTTACATGTCTTCATTTAATTGTAAAGATAGTGATAATGAAATTCAGCCAAAGCATAAACATTCAAAGTTTAAAGAAGTGAGATTCATAATGTGTATATCAATCTATCCATTGTAGCTAATAATTTTTTCCATATTGATGAATTAATATTTAAAGAGACGTCAAGAAATTTGACTAAGCATTTGTGATGGAATTTTTAGCAATCGATCTATGCTTAGCTTTTGGCTCTGTCGAAAGATACACTACTGTCATAATCTTTTCGCTAATTTTGTTTCTACGAAACATTCACACTAATTTCAACGTCTTAATACACATCTAGGACATTCTAATTCCTGTAAACGTACATTTAAAATCTTCCAGTATTAGTTCATTCGTATTGATTGTATCAATCTTCCCAGTGATGTTGGGAAGTACGATTGATCAGTATCTAGTCAGTTAGAAGATTAAAAAATGAACGAAAATGAAGTTGTGGAATCAGCGATCTGAACAAATATGCCTAATACGGGTCGAGAAGGATCATTTGATTACACTCTCTGCACCCAGTGTAATAATCCTTCTTAGCGACGAAATGATTAGCATTCGGTGTTTATTGGAATCTGTTTATAGATCAATTTAAATTACGAGGTCAGTAATACAAATAAATGCATATAACATAGAGTAAGAAAAGTGGATCCAATGTTTACTCAAAGGTTGCGAAATAAATCATTTAATATGGATTAAGTAGGAAATGGTAAATTAGGTCGGGTGGTAATTAAATTCCTCGCTTGTTCACAAGATTAATAATAATAAAAATAATGAAAGATGTGTAAATGGTAGTAGTAGTCATAAATGAATTAGGTAGACACAAGTTATAAAACTATAGAGGAGGAAGTTCCCCTTCATTAGTCCACCCGAGAATAATACCTCCTTCAGGAATTACTTTTAAAAGGTGTACAATTTTAAAAACCATCTATTGACCACCTAAACTGTATTACGAATCAATCAAACTACAAACAGGCTTACTACGTTTTGTGGATTACGCTTGTAACCAAAACATTTTTAATTGACATTCACACTGATTTCAACATCTTAAGGCACACTTAGGACGTTATAATTCCTCTAAACGTGCATTTAAACTCCTCGAGTTTTAAAATTACAGTTTCAGTAATACGCGTAACATTATTGCTGTATAAAATGTATGAGTGATATTGCTTCATTGCTATCCAAATAATCATTCGTGAACGTGTGGGATGTAATAGATAGCAAAAATAATAAACACTGCACAGTTCCTTATGTAGCTAACGCCTTGGCCCTGACAGGTGTACCCCTGAGATTTTTAAAAATAGCAGTCCAGTTTTAGCAGCGAGATTGACCGAAGTCTTAGGTAGAATCTGGAAACTGGACGTAATCCCATCTGACTGGTCTTAATCACTGGTTGTGCCAGTTTATAAGAAAGGACAACAGTCCTCTTGTGACAATCACAGAGGAATCAGTTTGACTAATATAGTGTCAAACAGACTATAGAAAACTAGGCTGGTTTTCGACCTGGATGTGGTTGTATAAACCAGATATTCACACTACGTTAGGTCCTAGAACATAGACACACATCCAGACGCCCCACAACCGTAGTATTTCTCGACCTTAAGGCGGCATTCGACTTTGTCGATCGTGAGTTCTATGGCAGTGTTTGTCATTGTAAAGCGTACCAAGGATTGGGTTGCATCAACACGAACTAATGATAGAAAACGAAATAGTTGAGCGTGCCGACCACTTCACTTATATTGGAAGCCTCATCAGCCCTTGTGGTCTGGTGTGTGACGAAATCTCAGCACGGTTACAGAAGGCTCGACTAGCTTTTGCCAACTTTTATGGCGTAGGCGAGATATCCGTCTACCAACTAAGGGACGTGTTTACTGCGCAGCAGTTCGTTCCGTTCTACTTTATGGCAGTGAAACATGGCCGGTAAGAGTAGAGGATATTCGTAGGTGACTAGTATTCGATCATAGGTGTCTTCGAAACATTACTCGTATATTCTGGGACCACCGAGTAATTAACGCAGTTGTTAGGAAACGGGTACTAGGTAAGGATGGCAGATCAATTGATGAAGCAGTAAAACCTTATTGGTTGAGATGGTTGGGACATGTGCTTTGTATGCCCAACCACCGACTTCCCAGACGTGCGATGTTTTGTTGTGTAGGAGTAGGTTGGGATTCTTCATGTACCTTTTTTTCCCTTTCCAAATTTATTTCACTGTATTATACTCCTTGAATAACACCTTCAAACCGTAATCTTTCCGATTACTACCTATACTCTTACTACCTCTACCACTACGGGATTTGAATCGACAACTGCATCTCTGTGCTAATGTGGTGTGGCAACTCGAACTGATGTGCGTACGTACAAAGTTCTACGTTGTTACTGACTGACTGAGCTAGCGCCATTTACATTTACTAATTTATTAACGCTACGTATAATTCCAACACTACCTAATAGATCAGCTTTTATACGTATCTGTATCACAAAATAACGCCTATTTGTCACTGAGCTTATCTTATATTTGTTTGATACAGAGGGGCATTATCCCAGTAATTGAAGTTTTCCTTAAGCTACATGTTCGAACTCCATTCCGTCGACTTTGGTTTGAACATTAATCTCTATGAAAGTTTATATTAATTAATAATTGGTAATTGAATCATGGTAGTTACTATCAGCCTTAATCTTTAAAACTAAACATGAATATACTGCGGGGGTATAGCTACTGATCTCTTCAAAGTATAGCTTGGGTTCGATAAAACCAACCATAAGCGTTAAGACGTAAGTTAGTTTATAGATATTCAAATGTACATGTAATTTTACAACCCATATATTACACATTTCTAGCTAAGGTTTCCGTTAGTAATATGCGAAACTCTAAGTGCAGTCAGCCTAAAACCAGCATTTACGTCTGTCCTGGTTTGAGCCTCATACGTTAGAGCAGAATTTCTAAACAGTCTCATAAACATCTGAACCGCATGTCATATGCTACCCAAATACGTGGATATTTTTCTATCTACACTAACTTGGCAAGGTCAACATGTGTATGACTGGTAGGATATTTTTGTTTCCGATTCAAAAATCTACGTAGCCTGTATTGGACAGCTAAATTTTTAAGCATTTATATTTTTAATTGTCACAGGATAGTTTCGAAGAATCAGACCACGAAAATCAACTTAATGACAACGCTTCGGAACAACAGGAAACAGAAAACGATTCAGATAACTCACCGAGCCAAGATTCTTTGAAAAGAAGACTTCAAGATATCCGATCGTCTTCTAGTAGTCCTAATAATAATGGTTCTCGGCAAGATGATGGTAGTGAAACGGGTGATAATGGGTCACAATTAGATGATATGGCCAATTCTAATGATAATGAAGGTCAGAGAAGTAATGCTGACGATGTAGAGGATGATTTAGCGCATGAACCGGACGAAACAAGAATATCTGTTGATTTTCCACTGATTCGTGCAGATTTAGGCAGGTATGTATTTTTCGGCTGTAAAAAGTAATTAAATATAATGTAGCTGTAGTAGAGTACTTTCTAAGAATAAACGGATTTGTCACTTTTAGGGTTTTCGTTGCATAGTGATGGAAATTAATTATTTTGTCAGCTGTTTTTAATCGTAATGACCTTAGCTGGATTTTCGAATAAACATATACATCAATTATCCAAAGCTAACCTTACACATGTCATTCAGTCTAAAACCATCCTAAAGATATTTCAATCGTCCATACAGTGTGTTCTTAACCACTCACTCAACTGTGCTACTTATAACCACACGATAAAGATTTAAAACTTGGTAACGTGACTCTAAATCGGTTGCATTGGTGTAGATCCATCTTTATTTCTCAGTTTCAATATTATCCCGTACTCTTTGTTCCTCAGATCCTTTTTAAACGTTTTTAGACCGTATTTTGTTTAGTCCTTTTTATGATTATAGTGAATACAACTATTACTCTTTTGCCGTTTATCTTGCTAATTTAATCTCTGTACTAGCGTGATGTATCAACCAATGCATATGTTCTTCAGGCCTTACGTTATGGCTGATTGACTATGTTCCATGCTTCAAAATTATTCATAGTGACCTATTTTCATTCACTCCTCATCTTCCTCTAAATCCTAAGCTTATTATGGTTCCACTCATGGTATTCCTTGATTTTATCGAATCCTTTTGGGTTGTACTTGTGTTCAACTAGTGACTCGACACTGCGAAATCTAAAACTTAGAACGAGCTGTATGTAATCGGTCTTAAATACCTGTTTCTTGGGTTTTATAGTGAGGTTATCAGGTTAGTAAAACCATCATTATTAACGTAGTTTTTTCTTCTGGTCCATCAGGAAATAGTATGATTTTTACGCAATAGAAGTTATGACCGGATATTAAAAGTAGTTGACTTAGAACCATTGATATAAAAAGTGAAACTTCATTGAGTTTAATTCGGTTTCGCTTTTCAGGTAGGATTACTAGTCTCCGCAAAATTAGTTAGACTAAAGCGAGTCTGTGTAATTTATGAATTACAGACATAAAATAACAGGGAAATATAGGCTTTCTGGATGTCTTCTACAGAACTCGAATTCTTCCAGCTCATCGTTGGCCTTCGTTTTGTAGATTTTCCCAAAAGAATCAGCCAGATTCAAGTCTAGTCATAGATGATTTGACCCATTTTATAAGAACGGATCGAAATTCTTTTGATAAATCAGCTCAGACGCAATAACGTTTAAGATCATGGTCTGTATAGTCATTTGATGTTTAACTGGAGCTTGAGAACATCAGGCCAGAGAAAATCAGGTAGATATCAGATGGGACCGCAAATGAATCGATGGAGTAATAACTCTGTAACAAAAGCATATTTTCTGACGTTAAGCCATCACCTATTTCGGTAAATAAATGCGACTTACTTTTAGATATGAGTTATTAGTTAGCAGTTAGTAATTTTAGCAGTAATTTAGGGATTTATTATCTCGAAAAAAATTTTGCTCTTAATAGGGGAGAGACTAGTCACTTGTAAAAATATTTCGGAAAAACGTTAAGTGAAAAATAATTATTTTTTACACATGCTGAATTTTTTTATATTATCTGACTTTATTTTTAATGATCCTTGTGAATAAAAAGTAAAAACCTCATCCAACGAGCAAATCTTGCTTACCTCAAAACTAATTGTATTTGGTTTTCGATTAGGGAGGTACATTTGGTAAAAATGCCTAATTTTTTGTCGGTTGAAACTCGTCCGTTTGACCCTAACTTTTACGAAGATGAACTGGATGAAGATGAAATTTTAGATGAAGAAGGACGAACACGTTTGAAACTAAAAGTATGATTCCTTTTGTTAACTCTATAAATTATTATTTCGCATATGTAAATACGACTCACTTAACAGTATCAATCTGTTAAGATATTTCACTTATTTTTTTCAGACAGCGGTGTGCGAAGATCAGTATGATTTGTATCATCTAGGTAGAACAGCTCATAATGTGGGATATGTAAGGTATAAGTTTAGAGTACGGAAAATATGATATACTCAGTGATTAGGTCTTGGTAGTATTTAGTAAATACGAATGTTAATACCTATATCACAAAATTTCAGTGAACTAAATTGACTTTGAGTCAACACCTAATCGTAAAACTGATAAGTCCCTCTCTAGTGCTAAGTCTTAAAACTTTTATCTAACATTCTCGAATAAGTAAAGTATAATCTCTGCTTACAAAGTATAATTTGTTACTATGTTTTCATCTCATTATATAAAGTGTAAGTCAACAACAAGAGCTCTCATATTAGCTCATTTATGTGTTCATTTTTATATTAAAGCAAATCGTAATAATTTATTACTTTACTGCATTTGGAAATTTGATAGGATTTCCATCCAAGCGTATTTATGTCTGCAACTACATGAGTGCGTTTTCATAGAGATCTTTTAATAATTTAGGTCGAAAATACTATACGTTGGAGGATTGGTAAGACACCTGATGGTGAAATGATTCACGAATCAAATGCTCGTATTGTTCGTTGGTCGGATGGTTCTCTGTCACTACATCTTGGGGACGAAATTTTCGACATACACAAAGTAGATATTCAGTCAGACTATAATTATCTGTTCATACGAGAAGGTAGTGGTTTACAAGGACAGTCAAGTTTAAAAACCAAATTAACATTCAGGTTTGTGTGTAATCGCATACTTCTTTCTTGTACTTTGAATTAATCTTATTTTTGGACACTGACAAAAAGGATCCTCATTGGTTTGATCTTTTCGAAATTTGACTTAAGAATTAATGACGCGTTTGCTATCGGTCAGTGCAAATGGCTGTTGCCTTAATAAGAAGGCTGAAGTTGCTCATCTATGGTGGAATCCCTTTTCTATCTAAATGATCTCAAGTTACTGACTGCGAGATTGAATGCTACTACCGACTACGAATTCTGAACCAGCCCTTCTGAAACCACGTGTGCCATTCAAACTGGTTTTCTTCGACGTCAACACACTAATGAAGGTCGGACAACAGATAGGGTTGGCCTTGTCCTTAGAAAGTCCCAACATAGATGTCTATTGTTTATCCGAGATCCGTATTCGAGACTAGTGAAGTGCTACACATTCACCCTCCATCTGTCGCTTCAAAATACTTGTTTCATCTGAGTTTGTCCGGAGACCCTGTGATGTCTTCGTCTGGCTTTGCTGACATTGGTGTCACACTAAGTGCTAGAGCTGAGGCAGCGCTGATCGACTGGATTCCCATTAACAGTCGGTTATTCGCTGTTAGATTAGAAATCTCCAACATGGTGAGAAATTGTTATGAGAAACGATTTCTTCTCGTTATCTCACTCTAAATGCCGACAGATTGTAGCGCGACTGTAACAAAGGGTAAGTTCTTCCACAGGAAGTGCACTCGACAGATATTGTAGTACTACTCGGAGACTTGAATGCACAAATCGGGTGTCTGGGCACAGAAGAGCGTCATTTGGGTGACTGATGTGGTCTTGTTGGTCGCAGGTCAAAGAACAGTGACCGTCTACTGCAACTTTGCGTAGACTACAACCTGTTCCTGGCAAGCACTAACTACCAGCACAATCATCGCTGATGTGCCACCTGGCATCATTTCTCTTCATCTCAAGCCTGGCCTCAGTTTGGTTACATGGCGACCAGAAGGCGAAAAGTGAGTGTCCGGAGCTTTAACCAAGTTAGTAGATACGGCGGATCCACCTAGGAGATTCGGAGAACTCAGATTTCAAACCAATGGTGCACATGGGCTCCAGCATCCTAAGGGAACAAATGACGTATGAACTTATTGTTGGGACTGCATCTCCCACTGCTTTGTGGATTAGACCTTTAAGTCAAAGGCTCGGAGTGTGGCCCCTCTGCTTCGGCTTAGGCTCCCGTGCAGTGTTCCATCCCTCACAAAAATCGAGTGGTTCTTGTGGCACATATCTGTTCGGTGCCTTCTTGTATCAATGTCCATGTGTTTAAATAAATAAATAAATAGATCAATGTCAGCAAATTGGTTGCAGCTTCTGTTGCAACGAAATATCAAACCAAGCTAGGTTCAAGACTAGCTATCAAGCCATCGAAAAGTATAGATGAGCACTGGCTTTTATTCCATTATTCCATGAAAATGGCGAGGTAAGTCGCTTGCGGCTTCACGAAAGTAATATTAGAAGTAGTGGCTTACACCGAGTCATGAAACGTCCGGAAATCTATTTTTTCTACTCATTGGGATATTACAAATATATTATTTTATTTATAGCGATCTACCCAATACCCAATTTATTCGAAATTATCAAGTTAAACCTTGATAATATCTATATTATTATTATTACTATTTATTATTAATTATTCAATATTTCACTCTCATATACTAGTTTCTTTTCGTTTTTATTAGTTTTATCATGCTTTCCTTGTTTCTTCATAAATTCACTTATATTATCTCGCGCATATATATTATGGTGCCTCATTGTACTAATGCTTAAGTTTCCAAATAAATAAATAAAAAGAATTTAACGCTTCAACATATTAAAGAACACTTTTGCTCTGATCAATGCATTTTAAAACTGTCGAGTTGTATAACCTGTATAGTTTAATTTCCTTAGCTTTCACTGTCGTTCTGCACAAATAGAAGTAACCACTGATATGGTGCACTAAAGATTCTAACTATTCTATAGATAAGCTGTTTTTTTATACTTCATCCCATTGATAGTCTAACTCATCAGACACTAAACATATAGAATTTATTCGTTATCACAACAGCGTACCTCCGTACTCGTAGCTTGTTCTTCAACTTTCTAACCGTAATATAAAACACACACAATTGGTTAAGTTTACATGAAGTGATCTCTTCCTTTACACAATAACAAAGTATGCAAATATGTAATATTTTTTTGGTAAGACAACTAATGTGTTGACCCAAAAATGTTTTAAAACAATTACCTGATGTTTAGTTTATTTCTCATATCCGGCTAATGATATTTAATTAAAATAGGCAATAAATTAATCATAAGACAGATGAATTTTAAATTAGATACATTATTGTACAACTTGAACTAAAATTTTCTTATTTATTAACTTTATTTTATGATTGAAATAAACTTGTTAATGTATTTATATATTTACAACATATAGGCCACATTCAACAGATTCATTTACGCATCGTAAAATTACATTATCACTAGCAGATAAAACAAATAAACTACAAAAGGTTAGTTCACTTATAATTTACAAAGTTATTGCCTGTTTATGAAAATCTGTTAAAGTTTCGTATGGATATACCATTTATTATGGATTCTTTTTATTTTTGCTTGCATATTTTAAGTTTAAAATTCGTGATTTATAATCCAATATTGTTAGTTGAAATTCTTTTTGATGTTATTCGAAGTTGGATAGCAATAACACACAAGAGCCAAGTTTTGTAACATTTAGGCTTCTCTAATTGTGTGGATTTCCATTTGGAATTTTCGTGTTCCCACTGAATTCTATATGCAACGCCCACCTGATGGTTATCTTACAGGTTATTTAATTGTTTTGGCCAACTGATATGCGAATTGTATTGAATTTCGATAACTTGATGCATCCTATTATCAATGTACTAGACAAAATTGGTTAGCCACTATTTTCACAGAGCATTTTTTTACGACCCTTTAATATCTCATGAGATTACACATTACTAACAGGATTCAGGTTGCTTCGTCCTTAAGAATTCTGAATAAAATAAGATTTGATATCTAGATTTTATTGTTAGCAAGTACCAAACAGTGTCTTAATTTTGTTTACAACGATTTTCATATATCAATACAAATAATGTAAATATGAACAACGGTGAACTCTACGTACTTCAGTTTTAACATCTGAGTATTTTTATTTCTCAAATAATAAATATCAGAATGTAATCTAATAATTTGATTAGTGAGTTGGCAGGTTGTTGAGTTATGTGGTAACTTAACCTGATGCGAAACGTGCCTTTTTAACCAATGAAACCCCGGGTTCGAAAACTATTGCACTTCAGTTTGGACATCCGAGTAGTATCACTAGCCTTGACAATAAAAGTTTGATTTAAAGCTATGAATATGAATTTGTATTGGGTCAATCATTTATATTATTATGGGTACTCGTACTTAACAAAACATATCTTAATATGTGTCCCAATTTGGAACAAAAGCCTCAAGGCAGTCTGGAGAAGCAATCGGTGGTTGGAAGCAGATTAAAATCGATTCAACTTCACAAACCACTGAAATGTATAGACGAATCGGTGATATACACTTGTTACTTGAGTGTTGTTTCGGTCACTTATCTGTTTGAACTGTGATCGATGAAGCTCAATCTTGAGCTATGACGAAAATTCGAAATTTACGGTTAGACTGACAGTATTTCTTTTTCTCGAGTTTAATATCTTATCTACTACACACTTCGTTTTTTTTCTATTACTTATTGTACTTCCAAAGTTTCTTACTCTATATATTATTTCAACTTAGGTCAAAATTCTTCCTGTTACGGGTGCTGATCCAGAATCAAATCGTAATGTGCTTGTGAGGAAAGAGGAAGAGAAATTGCGTGCTACACTAAGGCGCGAAAGTCAGTTGCGGCGTATGCGTGAAAAGCAGGCCATGTCAAGAAGTAGTTTTGGTAGTGAACGTAGGCGAAGTTACGGAGAGGATGATGATGAAGATGATGGTAATACAACATCTTTAAATGCATTAAAAAGAAATGCGAAAAACTCATTGTTGGCTGCACGCAAAGGTAAATTAAATTTTAGGATTACTTTGTTGGTATTCCTCATAAAAAATATGTCAGCCCATCTATTCGGAGATTTACTTTACTGAGAACACAGGTAAAAATTTCAGTGTCTGTAAAATGGTGCGTAATCTACCTAACAGCTCATATATATACATATATGATAATGTTTACTAATGATCGGTTATAAGACTAAGATCACGTTAGGTAAACACGTCATTATTGTTCCTGTGATCTCTTTCTATTAAATATTCCATTCGCTTAATCTGTATCTTCATTCTCATATCAACAAACAGGCTATATTTGTCATAATGACTGTTTAATATTCTATGCTCTTAATTTTCGGAGGTTTTCCTACTTTTTATGTCATAGTAAGTAATACTTTTTCTATTTTTTTTTCAATCACTTCAGATGTTGCTGCAATTTATTCATCTGATGAGGAATCATTAAGTGATGTAAGTTGTAATAACTGAAGTAATGTACGGTGATAATATCTACATATGTTTCATCTGATTGGTTTAACTATGAAATATCACATGTAAATGTATGTAGAACTTGGTTTTTACTAGTGAAAGTAATTCAACATGTAAATAAAATATGATTTTAAACAGATCGAGAAATGGATAGGTCAATTAAAATATTCTCAGTATAGTAATATTAAACTGACTTGAAATAAATTTATAGGCTGGATATACTAGATTTAGTCAGAAAAATTAATTGTTTTCTCATTGGAATTTTCACTTCAAATTGTTATTATTTCTTAGAATTAATGTAACTTTAATCCCACGAGAATTTGTACGTTAGTGCTTCAAACAATTTATCTCCACCTATTTAGTCATTGATTCGAATCTTAGTTCTGATTACCTCATTGTAAAACGTTTCATATTATCTATAAGCTTCATGTAGTTCGCTAAGCATGTGTATAATTTCAAAGGTGTGTGAATTTCACAGTTACATTTGATGTTGTTCTGTGTATATTAGTAAAGTGATTAAAAGAAATCTTAGTTATGAAGACGGAAGGAATATTTGGGAATAAAGTGTATGTATTTTTTGTTCTTAACAAGCATTCTGCATTCCAACGAGAGTATCTTATTTTTCTTTTTACAGATATCAGAACCTCGATCACGTAAGAAAGTAAGAGCGAAAATAAGTGATGAAGAGGAAAGCGACTAAAATAAAATACTTTTCCACTGTTTTCATACGATAAATTGTACATAATTTATTTATTAAAAAAATAAACAATTTTTCTTTATCATAAGTTTTCTTTAGATTCTAAAAAGAATACAGTAAAACACAACATTTTATTTACCATATTAGTTAGCTTCTCCAATTAGGTGTATCAACACGACTTAACTTTGTGCATTATACTTGAAAACGTTACTGTTACATACAATAGTTATGGTTTAGAATAACTTTACTAGCATTATTAAAAAAATAATTTTATAAAGTTATAAAATAAGCAATGCATAAAGGTGGTTAGAATTTTTTAATGAGCCGTGTTTTTGACTACTTCCAACTACATGACAGAAGCAAACTATCCGATAAAGTTGAAATACAGCCTATCTCGCTGTTGTTTGTAGACTGATGGGTGTAGTTATTTTATACAATGTTCATCGTAAATTCGACTTTCACAGCTGTTTTTACTTCTTATTTCATAAAGTGGAATTCCTCCTTTCATCATTTTATTATCCACTCATGCTTCTTTCCAAATTCCTTCTGTTTTTATCGATATGTTTAAAATCACTTGGATTCCAGCTAATACATCTTAAGCGTTTCTCGCCCTATTATTTTCATTTTAGTCTTCGTTTTGCTATCAGATAAGCTTAATAACTCAAACGAACAGATACTACAATGACTTTGTATTCACTAACCACGTTAATTACGAAATTGTATTTATAAACTTAAGTGTAATTCTTTGTTAATTAGTAGTTTAGTTTAGGAAATGAAATATTTTCACACTGGTTGTAAACAAGACAGGATTCTGATTCCGCTCAACGATCGTACGATAAGTTATAACGAATGATTCAAGTACACAATTACATGTTTGTAAATGCTTTTTGAAAATGCATTGAACAATCAGTATTCCCGGTGGTAAACTCCGAAGTTAATAGTCAGTATATTCATAAAGAGAAGGTAAAAAGAGGAGATATTTTCTTTTTAATATCACTTTTTATTGACTGTCGAATGTTAAGAGTTGATTAGTACAAAGCATAACTCAAATATTCTTATCATGACGCTTTTCGTACTTAGGCAGCCATGTTTTTTATTTTCACATTTTTCAATGACGTCAAGAATAATATACGACACTGCTACAAGACTTGTCAGTCGACAAAGAAATACAGTTATAGCCAGATGTCAGAAAGTATTCCTGTGTTCTAAAAGCTGATGAAGTGAGTATTTAATCGATTCATTCATGCTCAAGTCTGAAACGATACTGGTTTTCATGAGTTTACCATTCACAAGCTTCATATATGTGCATGAGTCGGTAGTTAAAGAAGAGCTCATTAGTACTAGTCGTTGATAATAATGGTGAACTTATTTTTATCATCTTTCAGTTAAATTTTACTTGATGAACAGAATTTGTATTACTAGTGATGCGATAAGACAAATCAACTAATATATGTTGTCATTCTATATCAGAGCTAACTAGTGGTGTTAATGAAATACTTTAAAGTTATACTTTTTATCAGTCACTTGATTATTAACCCTTTCCCCTTCAGTTAGTAAACTAAAAGAGAAGAGAGAATAAGGTTAAAAATGCAACTGAACAAATGACAAGAGCAACAAAAAATAGACTTCAACAAGTTGAAATATAAACAAACGGAAGTTGTGCAGATGAACGCAGTCAATAACAAATGATGAACTAGTATATTATCTTGCTTGAATCACGCTGTCGAACAACGAGATAAACTCAGTTATAATTTTTGTTTGTATCATCATTTAATAATGCACAAATTATATCATTGATGTCACGAAAAACAATATCATTTTTTATTGTTATGTTATTATGATTAGCAGTTGGATAGGTAACTTCAAAATGATTAGTTACAGTGTTTAGAGCATTAGGACCGTACAGAGTACCTGGACTGTTTTTACCTTCAGATGTGGTCGAATGATGACGTATCTTACTTCTTAGAATTTCGTATTCACTGCTTTGTTGTTTTTTATTTTCCATTACATCCAATCGTTTTAAATTAGGTAACGAATCACATTTAAAGTTTTGAATACTAATATGCGTTTCTGAAAAATCTTTAGTTATATCACTGATTGTTGAACTGTCCTTACCTTCTGATAATGAAATATTAACCTGAAATAGAAACAATGTGAAATCGTTGAGGTTCATTTTTATTTTAAAACATCGTAATTACTTATGAAGCGAAATTAACTAGTAGTGAATAGGATGCTGTGGCTAATCTTTTGAATGGTATCCAGATATTATAACAATGATTATTATATTCAGAAGTCTAAAAAAAGAAAGGAAGTGAATAGTTGAGCTACAAACAGTGTGCAACTCACTATGCACGTTAACGTAATCTTTCGTGATAACATGATTGCTTACTAAATGACTAAAAAAGCCAGCATTGGATTAGAATGGAGAGTTATCTCTCATTCTATCAGAGCATTTATATCTATACTCCCATTTCCGTTACATTTTTAGAATGAAATATTTCAAATTAATTAGATAAGGTTATTCTTTATGTAGATTGCTGGTAGATAACTTGAGTAGCTCTGATATTTCCGAGTAAATATGTTCTAACTACAACATTTTGTGGCATATCGGGAAGTTGTTTACAGTTGCAAATATTTAATAACATTGTATATAATGAAGGTTGTCTCTACGGTTATCAAATAATCTACCGTACGTCATCTAAGAGGGAATTCTCAATGAAGTATATCAGTTATACTGTGGTGTATTCTGCTTATATCGACATAATTATAATATAACATTAGTCAGGAATAGAATGTTTGGCAGCAGATGGTTGAGAAGATCGAGGAGGAAAGAACGGCATCAGAAAGCAAATGGTATGGAAATGCTGGCACAATGAAGTCTGAGACAATTAATGAACATTTTGCGAATGAAGTATTGGAGTATGGTTTTTCTAGTTTACAAGTAACTATAATTTTTTGCTTAATATAATTGGTTGTCCTCACCTGTGTTCACCTTCACTACATTACTCTTAAATCGTTCCAAATTTCGTTTCTAGTATACACAGCGGTAACATTTTGGATATATCTCATTTCCAATTCTACTACTATACTATATAAATACACTGCATATATTTTTTACCTATCTATCATATTAATATCTAATTTAATTTTTTATTGGCACAAACGTGTAGGAACTTCCATTCGTTTGCCATTGACTGTGAGAAAATAATTTCTTCAATATTAATATAATTCATTCACCCGGTATAAGTTTATTTAATTGCCTTTGTATCACACAGTTTGTGTGAGGACTAGTGATGTTTATCCGAATGGAAGTAGGTAGAGTGGAGTTCGGTCCTACGATTTCTTAGCTGTAAACTGAGTACTTTAAGCATTAGACTACCGTCCTATATCACTTTTGTTAATAAATAAACGTGTTACGAAATGTCTTGGACATTATAAAAGGCGATCAAAAACGGTAACTGGATTTTGACTGCTGAATTACGAACGACTTGGGGCTAACTCACTTTACACGGTTGGTAGACTGACATGGAATCAATGTTGTCAGTCGTATTTGAAGGGAGGCGATATTTCCATATTTCTTTACTTGAACTGTTTATTTGCTTGATTGGATTGCACACACTTGTATTGCTATAGCCTTTGTAAGCTTGAAACGAATACTGTTCGCGGGGTTTGTTGAAATCATTGGTACTTAAAACTTGTGTTAGTTTTGGATTTGTGATTGAGGAATAATTATATATAAAATTATTTTGTTTTACCAAGCTCGTGTTTGATAAAAATATGGGGATAGTGCTGTCATTTTCTGCAGTGGTAAAAACAATCGATCCATATCTATTACTCACAGGCTGTTCATTAATAACTTTCATATCTTTAGGATCGTCATCAACCCGATTATAAAGTTCTACTGTCATAGGACGAGGACGTGCCCCAACACCGAATGGTTGGCGTAATCCTAGTGCTTTTTCTTCATTGGTCAAAACATTGACCAAACACTTTAAAACTGCCTAAGTTAGATAAAGTAATTATGTATAAATATAATAACGCAAAAAGTTTATCATCAGTTAAACAACTTGTAACTTCAGAGGTATTTTTTGAGAACTTGCGCTCTTAATATACTGTCTCATTTATGGTTTATGAATTTTTAGACCAAACGCAAGGCGATTTCTTTCCAGCAACTTTCTCCCTTCATGATGAAAACATTTCTAAATTCAGACTAGATAATAATCAGCCCTCAGCATGAGACTGTGTAGCAAACATATCTTTAAATTAGTAGTGTCTCAATAGATCGAAAGACTACAATTAGATTTTTGAGGCGTTTCAGATAATCACTTTACTCAAATACATGACACGATATCCTTTTACATAAAGTTTTAGATCTGTAACTAATATGAGCTCATAAAAATAAGTAAATTTATAGAATTTCTTTAAACACGTTAGGGCAGGTTAGCAGTATAAACTGCGATTAAGTAATCTCAATAATTGTAATAACTCATAAGTAAGATTATTTGTTTTCGTATGTCAATCACACTATGAGTCTGTAAAGCAAAACTTATACCATGTAATTCTGTGGAAACTAACAAGTTAAATTAATGCAGCAATTTAGAGAAGAAATAGTTTGATTAAGAAAGTTATGATTCAATCCTTATAACTTCAAAGTATTTTTCGAAATAGTCTTCTACTGGGTAACCTAGACATGACAAACAAGGATGTGAAATGAACAACTGAATTGATTCGATAGCCATCGTGATTGGAAACTGCAGTAGGTTGCTGATTACTTTATAGAGAATAAGTAGATTAGTAGCACAAATAAAAAACAAAAAATACTGTAGGATCATCCTCAGTCCTTTGGACAAAAAAGTAGTCTGTCGGTTGTATTTCACATAACTGATTGGTGATTACTGAATCTTGAGTTAGTTGAAGTTAGGTGCACCGTAGGATTATCGCTTAGTAGCCAAGTGTTTGCATGCGAGACAGAAGGTCCTCAGTCTTATCCCCAGTAAGGTTGTGAACACACTACTGAGGATTACCATATTAGAATAAAACAGCAATCCAGTCCTTCATAGTTCTAACTGGATATTTAACTTAGG